TTAAACACTGTGTAGTTGACTAATGTGGAAGCATTCAGTCATATCTACAACTAACAATGAATATTTCTTAAATTTATAGATTTCGGAATTATAACATATTATACGCAGAACGTCGAATCATACTGTCCACAAATTACAATTTAAAACAGGTTATACATAAATAGTCTAAAACTTACAGGTCAGTTTATTAAAAGCTTGATAGAATGGTGTTCTTTATATCTCATTTCTCTAGCACGATCTCAAAAAGACGTCTATCCTACTCGGCACTTGGAAACGTTATGGTAAAAGGTCAGTCATGTTTATAAAATTCTTATTACTTTGTTATACATTTTCGATAAATTGTCTGTGTCATTTTGAAGGTTTATTGTCTTGTTATTCTTTTTAATGAGAACCATTTCAGCAATTTCTCTTTTCTTTGTCTGTTTTTCTCTGTGTAAAATTTTAGGGTTGGACCAGTCGAAGTTATGATTTAATAATTCGCGATGTTTGCTGATCACTGAGTGGTTGTCAGCGTCTTTTTTAATATTGGATTTGTGTTCTTTTACCCGTGTTTCCAAGTGTCTTTTTGTTTGTCCGATATAGCATGCGTCGCAATTGTCACATTCCAGCATATAAACTAACTCGGTTTGTTTCATGTTAATTAGTGGATCTTTTCCTTTTTTGATCACTGATGTGAGTTTTTTTGGAATGGTATACACGGGATCGAAACCTCGGTCTTTTAGAATCCTGTGAATGCCTTCGCTTATGTCTTTAATGTATGGAACCGTTACAAAGTTTTTATTGAGCAAGAAATTATTTGTTACATTATTATTGTTAATATCTTGTGTACTATTCCTGTGTTTTAATTGTTTTAGTCTCTTATCAACTAGTTTATTGATTACGTGTGTCGGATAACAGTTGTTAGTAAGAATAGATTTAACTATGCATATGTTCGCATTATGAAACCGCTCATTAGATAACAGGATGGCACGGTCGACTAAATTAGTTACAATGCTTGCTTTGTAGTTAAATGGGTGATTGGAAAGAAAATTGACATAGCGCCCCGAAAACGTCGGTTTTCTGTACCAATTTGTTATCAACGCGTCGTCATTCCTAATGACCATTGTGTCAAGGAAACTTAGTGATCCGTTTGTCTCTATTTCACAGGTGAATTTCAACCTCTGATGATAGTTGTTGAATAAATTTAATATATCATTGATCTTTGAAGTGGGGACAATAGTAAAGATGTCGTCAACGTATCTGAAGAATGCCGTCAACGGGTTATCCAATAGTTGCAAACAATGGGTCTCGAGGTCATCCATATCAGCTAATATGGGAGATAGGGGGGAGCCCATAGGAGTTCCAAAAACTTGGTCGTAAAATTGTGCGTTGAAACAGAAGCTGGTGGAGGTCAAAATTAAATCTATGGCATGTGAAAACTGTTGTAGATTCAATTTAGTGTTTTTGGAAATCATGTTCCATCTATGTTCAATCGCTTTCAGGACTAACTCCTTCGGAATATTTGTGAAAAGAGATGTTGCATCTAAGGACACAAGTGACTGGTCTGGGCGGATTTTTATTCTGTTTATTTTTTTGACAAAGGTCCAGCTATCTTTGATGTGCGAACTCGGTCTCTGGATGGATTTTTGTAAGATGTCTCCGAGAAATTTGGCAATTTTGTACGTTGGGCTGCCTAATGTAGAAACAATAATGCGTAACGGAAAGTCGGTCTTATGCACTTTTGGTAATCCGTAACATCTAGGGAGGTTGCCGTTGGTGCAACGTAATTGTTTGTATGTATATTCGTCTATAATTTTTAAAGTATTTCATGTTCTGCTCTAATTGTCCCAGAAGCAGAGTTTGTTAAAAGTGGTCCTTAAGTAGTGATAGGGTTATCAAGATAGTCAATTTTGTCAAGAACCTACAAATATACTATTACATTTATTGAATAATATATTTTCTCAAAGACAGTAAAATTATCGATTCTTGACAAAATTCACCATCTTCATAACCCGATCACTATTTAAGACAATGGCAGAACATAAAATACTTTGATTATAGAGAGGCTACGAATCTGTAGCCAAAAATTAACTCCCAGCGCTTCTTCGTAAACACGCATTATCATTACCATGTTTTATATTTGTAGTAGGTTTATTAATTATTTATGTTTTAACATACAGGTACCTGGAGATCTAATACCTGCTATAAAGAGAAGACAGGAAGTGGCCTTAAAACTTAACAAAAGGGTGCAACCCTTTATTGCTGTTGTTGGAGCCTCTGTAGAAAAATTTGATACGTGTTATGTTGTCATAGACAACATTAAATACAAATTTAACAGCATCGTAAAGGCATTTGACGTATGTTTCAAAGCTATACACTCCCTTAATACTGAATATTTATATGAGGCTAAAGGAGCTTGGCTTTTTGTTCAGCAAGCGTTGTATGGAATATCCACTCGTTATGATAAAAAAAATTCTGCAGTAGCTGCACTGGTTAAGTCATTTCAAGCTGTATGTAGTAAGTAGCTTCTACTTCTTAAGTTGTTTGAAGTTCAGTGATCTCCATTGATAGGCGTACGGGTGCCGCTAGAAGAATAGCCCCGGGGTAGCCCCTGCCTGTCGTAAAAGGCGACTAAAAGGGGAGGAGAGAGAGTATAGGGTGGGATACTAGCCCTAGGGGTGGGTACGGGCTGGGATACCCGTAACTCACCCGCCCCATAACAACGAGGGGCGCGGCGGGAGGCCCGGTGGCACCCCCACCGCAAATTGGAGGAGAAGGTCCTATTCAACAAGGCCAAGGAGAAGGCCCTTCTCAGGACCTGGCCCACACACCAGGGCCCAGAGGTGCGCGTAAGTTAGCGCGCGGCGCGGGGCTGTCAGGCGGTCATGCTATAGCAGTTCCTTGGCAGTCCCCAATAGCGCAGAGAAGTCCACCCCCGGTGGTTTTAGTGCGGTAGGCGCCTTCCATTGCACGCTGGCCCCAGGTCGTCAATTGCCTGGGGTACAGGGAGGGCGAGTCCCACACACCCCCCCGTTTCCGTCCCAGGGGAACGGGGGGACGGTCCATGAGGATTTCCATCGGGTCAAAAAAAAAAATCTCCATTGATGAAAAGGCTGTATAGATTATACTCTAAGCTACTTATACGACTGTTATGATGTATATTGTATTATGTAACAGTTGAAGAACTTAGTCAATGATCAATAGCTTTAATTCAACAGTTGTAATAGTGTTTACATTAAAGTTCACATTAAGTGACCTGTTAATGATTTGTTAATTATTCTGACTTCCATTATGGGACT